AGTCTTCCCATTCCTTGCAAAAAGGGAGACGCGCCTAAGGGTTTAGGGTTTAGGGTTTAGGGTTTAGGGTTTAGGGTTTAGGGTTTAGGGTTTAGGGTTTAGGGTTTAGGGTTTAGGGTTTAGGGTTTAGGGTTTAGGGTTTAGGGTTTAGGGTTTAGGGTTTAGGGTTTAGGGTTTGAGGGTTCAAGGGTTGAGGTTGGGAAGTTGGCCGACATGCCCGAGACTCCCCACGCCTGCAAAGTTCTCTAGATGGCCTGACTCACGGGCTTTTGGACGAACAAGTAACCAGATGTCCAACAAAACTGGCGCCAGCAGATTTAGGGCTTCCAGTTGCAATGGCCTGCTCATCTGGGCCTGCTTACGGAATCCTCGGGTTAGGGTTTGAGGAAACCCCTAGGGCCCCCCCAAAGCATTGAACCATCAAGACAACAGGAACAGCTAAGCCCGGCTAAGCCCTAAACTCCTGAACCCTGTGAACCCTTTGAACCCCCGAACATCCCAAACCGGAAGGACCCGACAGGCCCAATCACTAGCCCGGGCGCCAGGTCGATCACCACGGTGGTACCTTTCTGCGCCCGCACCCGGAAGTCATCCAGCTCAGCAGCCTTCCTGGTACTACGGGCTTCGGAGGGTTGAAAGTTAAAGGGTTGACTGCTTGAGGTTCGCCCGGTGAGGAATGCCAGGTTCGTGGCCGTAAGGGATGTCATTTTGGGATGCTGTCTGTAGGCTTGGCGTGTGGCGGAGTGGGTCATCCATTTTTGCAACAGCTGCTGTTATCGTCAAGCTCCGGAAGGAAGCTCCTTGACAGCTGTGTTGGGTTCTTGCCATCTTGCGGGCCGTTAGACATTGAACCTCAGAACTACCCACTAAACCCGAAACCAGAAACCCTAAACCCCAAACCCTAAACCCTAAACCCTAGCCCTAAGCCCTAAACCGTAAGCCCGAACCCCAAAGCGGATAGAATGCGGGCCCCCGCAGCCTTGCAGCGCGCGCCTCCTTCACCTGCAGGCGCTTCCGACTGAAGCATGTACGATAGGGGCCTTAACAATTCGAATGGGGTTTTGGGGGTTTTGGGTTTAGGGTTTAGGGTTTAGGGTTTAGGGTTTAGGGTTTAGGGTTTAGGGTTTGCAAAGGGACGATAAGGCAAGGGAATACTGTCGGAATACCAGCAACCCCATATTGCAGGTCAGGGCTTGCTTTGGTGCCACCAATCTGGCTTGGGGGACGAACTGCACCGCTCCAGGACGTACAGCACCACAGGTGACGACGCTCGTTTTTCACTCGATCACCAGAAGTTTAAAGCAGCGCCTGCGGTTCAACGGAACCATCACTCAGACTTTCGAGCACACACACACACACAGAGAGACAGAAGGAGAACAGCCAGATCCCATAGCCTCCTCGGCAGATCCGGGCTTTGTGCCGGGGCTGAGGCTCCTTGGATTTCGGGTTTAGCGCTTGAGGTTTGGGATTTGGGCTTAGGGTTTAAATCATGGACAGCTGCCCCCCCCCCCCATCCCGGGAGGGGGGGGCATGGGATGATGAGGTTGAGGGCACCAGGCGCAAAGGGGTGGTGATTTCTGTTCAGCATGCGCAGGACCGCAGAATCTTCGTGCTTGATGGCCATATCCTTTGACGGCTTTGCCGAAAACGAAAAGAGAGTTGGGACCTCCGCTTCTTCTTGCTGCTCCAGGGCACAAAACCCTCAACGGACGAAGCGGGCAGGGTGGGAACTCAGGGCTACCAAATTTGGGAACATACGTGCCCCAGAAGTCGGGGTAAGGGGCTCCCTTCCCCATCTTGGAGCCTGCGAACAAAACCACCACTTGCGCTACTAGACTTCGCCTGGACGCGCAGAATTGGGGAACTTCCGATCGTTATGTCCTGGGAACTCTGTTTGTGGGGTCGCCCTGATGGCACAGAACCAGCACAGAGCCCCAGTCCCCACATCCAAAGATGATGACCAACAGATCAGCAAAAAGTTCCAAGCTCGGCCCGACAATCCGACTGGCGTCCAAGTCTCAGAGGTGGGCCCTTCCGCCTGAGATATCAGCCCCAAGCTCAAGCAATACTAGTAATAGTAGTACTAGTAGTAATACTCAGCATAATAATAGTAGTAGTAGTAATAGTAATATACAAGAGTAGTGAAACGCGGCAAATCCCCAAGCCCGGGCATCCTTCGCCCCTGAACCCTAAACCCGAAATCGCCTTAGAAGCTCTAAGCCTCAACCTTGACCCGACACGGCGAGCTTTCCAACCCAGGGCCTGTACTACTGCTTTAAAAAAGGCGAGCGCTCGCGCAGCTTCCGGTGCTACAAGGGCTTAGGCGTGCAGGCATCGGGCTTCGGGAGTACAGGGCTTGGGCCAGCAAGGATGCTTCGTGGGGCTTCTTCAGGGGGGTTGCGCAAAGAAGCGCTGGGGACCCTTGGATTAAGATCAATGGCTGAGCTCTGACCTCTGAAGCCCTCCGAAGCATCGACAACTTTTGAAACGCTGTTCCCGAATGAACCTTAAGCTCTAAGCTTGGGAGACAGGGGGCCGGCCGCCCGGCTTCTGCCGCTTCTCCTGCTGCTTCCTGAGTTTTGGGCTTGGGGTTTGGGGGGTTCGGATTTCAGGGTTTCGGTGACTCTAGGTGATAACACAAGCTGCGCCGAAAGCCCGAGGCCTAAGCCCCCAAAACGGCCCACCCACCCGGTCAAAGATGAAGGGGTTGGTTTGGGCGGAGAAGGAGTTGAGATTTCCCGAAAAATGTCTGAGCCTAATGGAACAACTGCAAGCCTAGCCAAAAAACATCCCACACAATCATCTCTCAATGAACCGATACAGCCAAACAGTTTTCTACTTTGGGTGCTGGGGCCTTTCGGACTTATTCTATTTCAGCCGCAGGCATCCCCTTTCCGAGAACCGACATCTTGGAACCCGAAAGAGAAAGGGTTCCGAACCATCTGAAGTCAAAGGGCTGCTTCCTCTTTGCCTTCTGAGCCGCCTTCCTGAGCAGTGGGCACAACTGGGTTCAGACCCGTGACCAAGGGTTTCCTCTGTTCTCCAGCAGGCTAAGGTTTCGAGTCCCCAACAGCTCGCAACAGAGGCTCAGGCAAAGGGAAGCTCCCAACCTGCAAGAAACCAAAGAAAGAACACCTGCATCTTAGAAGATCGCGCCGGCTCATCACTGATGCTGATGGAGACCATGCTCTCTTTGCTTTGCTTTGCTTAGGGGCATAGGGACGGACCCTGCGCCTGTCTCTCTCTCTCTCTCTCTCTCACACCGGAAGCCTCAACCCGAAGCTTCTTAGACCCCTAAATCAGCTCTGCTTCCACTCAGCTTTCTGCTCTTGCTTCAGCTTGCCTCGGAATCGCACCGGCTTAGGGGGCAGTCTGGAACTCAGGGATCTTTAGTGCTTAGGAGCAGTGCAAAAAAGCACCAAACTCCTGAAACCAACGTTGCCGGAACCACCTAACATGGGTGCAGTGCAATACGACCCCTTGTACTTCAACCGAAGGCACCTTCTGCGAATATGAGCATGGATCCATGAGCTCCCCGTCTGCGACACTGAACTTCCTACCCTGTGACTCGAAAATAAGGTGAGCGTGGTGGGAGGTTTCCCCGCTATACTAACAGTCCTTCTTGAGGGATGCCTTGTGTAGGGGGCACTATCATCCCTATTGAGGACTCTTAGTATAAGGGGGAACATCCCAAGGTGAGTGCATTAATGGGCTCAAGAGCTGAAGATTCAGAAGAGTGCTTGGCGGGTTTCAACTGCAACCCGGGACTCTTGAGCCATGTCGAACCACCCCGTACCGAAGGCCAGCTAAAGTCAGATCAGATGCGAGCCCTGAAGCCATGTAGGGATCCAGAACAGCCCCAAACCCGAATACCGTGAAGTTGTGGAACTACAACCCTACGCCCTAAGCCCTAAGCCCTAAACCCTCAACCCTCAACCCTCAACCCTCAACCCTAAACCCTGGACACAACACTCCTCCACTCCTCCGCCACAGGGCGTTTCAGGGCTTTTCGGGAGCCGGCTCCCTGCTCCTTTTTGGCAAGGCAGGTTTAGGGTTTAGGGTTCAGGGTTCAGGGTTTAGGGTTTAGGGTTTAGGGTTGAGGTGTAGCCGGTTGAGGACATAATGCTTTCGTTTGGGTTTGGGGCTGAGCGGCTGAGCGTTGAGGGACTTGACACGGAGCTCACCTGCAAGTCTCTGCCAACAAAGTCTGTTGAACGGCTGGCACTCGTCCCATGGCTCCCCAGGCTGACACTTTAGGTTGCGGGTTTGGTGCTTATGCCTTGGATGGAGGCTGCAAGATATGTCGGGCTTGCGCGATGATCAAAGACCTGCGGACTTCGATCGGCAAGTCTTACCTTACGCCCTTGCATTTCAGAGGAACCGTATTCGGCAACCAGTTCGGGCAACCTTGTGAATCAAAACGGGGGGCAAGCACTTTTGCCGCGACATTTTGTATGCAAGACGTGCACATCTTATCATGAAACTGACTGTGGCTTGCAGAGTTCATGATCTTCTGTCCTGGTCCTCTGCCTCTTCACTGACTTCGGCATTGTCCTCGGTTGCCCTGTCCCCCCTGGAGCATGAAACGACCAAAATCTCGGAATGTCCCAAACAATATCACACCTCGAGGCCTCAGAACATGAACCAAAACCCACTAAGACGCAGGACCCGGGGATGGAGAAGATTGCATTTGCAAGCGTACATTGCACAGCTCGAAGCCCTACAACAGCGAACCCGTAAGTCTTAAACCCCTGAACTCCACCCCCCAAAGCTAATCCCTGAAAGCCCAAAAAACCACCAAGCAATCTTCCTCAATCTTAAAGTCTTCACAAGACCTGACAAACCCCAAACCCTAAACTCCATAAACCCGAAACCCGAAACCCAAGAGCCCAAACACCCAGGAACCCCCAAGGCTGTTTCGGCCCGGCCTCTTCGTCGGCCTCGTCGCCGTCCCTCTCCGGGACCGACTCCGTGGGCTCGGAGGCTTCCGCAGCCGCCATGGGGGGGGGGGGCTTCAGAAAAAGCAGGCTTGGGGAGTTCCGAGGGTTCTAACAGCAAGTTTGGGAGTTCCAAGGATTCTAGCAGCAAGTTTGGGAATTCTAAGGGTTCGAGTTTGGGATGCTCCCCCCTTAGGCTAGCAGTCCTGAATAGGGATTGGAGTAGCCCCTACGATAATCCCGATGAAGGACTGTTGGTATAAGGGGGAACATTTCACGTTCTAGTTCTAGCTTGCCAGGCTGGGTTTGGAGTCTTTGGCCTATCTCGGCGAACAGTGAAAATGGTGTGCTCTTGGCCTGAGGTTTCGGGTCCACACCTAGTACGGAAATGCCTGAGTGTATATAGAGAATCCTCACTAGGCCCAAGGGGTTCGAGGTGCATGGGGGTTTGCATGCCGCCTTGAGAAGGGTCAGGCTGGAGCAAGTTCTGTTGTTCCACGCTACACGCCTCATCATTTTCCTAGAAACTAAAGATGGCAAGGCACGCCCATGTTTTTACCCTTCTGCATTGCGTGGAGCGACGGACTGTCCTCTCACGAAACGCGATGGAAGGCACAGGAATGGCTGGTGGGAGTGCGAAGCGTTTGGAAGGCCGATCTGACACAAGCGAGACGCCCAAGGGATCGGGGCGGTATAGCAGCACAGCACTTCCCAAGTGAGAAATGCCCCAACACAGCTGTCTGGCTACGTTGACGCGCGGAGTCAAGTCGGGACGCCATGCTGTAGGAGCGACAAAGAAGCACTCACGTGGTCACAAGATTGTGAGATAAAACAACCTAAAACAAGAACTCGAACTATCAATGTGCTCAGCAGGCCCCTGTCACTTGGCTGTGCTCGGCCTTCCACTTCCTGCCTTTGCGGACAGCAGGCTTGCATCCAGGGGGGGCTAAAAGGAGGGGCCCAAAGAAAACCCCCAAATGGCACCTCTGAGGCCCCTTAGAAGGGTCCCTCCTTTCGTCCCTGGCCCATCTTGGCCCCCTGGACGCGGCTCCTTGCTTCCAGGCAGCTCGCTGCTGCCAGCACGTCTCCGGCCTCCTTCCAGGCGTGGAGTTGAGTTGAATTTTGAGATGAATTACGCTTAACTTTCAACAACGTTTTCGAACGTTTTCAATCATAAGCCTTTCTGACCCGGAACTCGAAGTCTTACGTGACGCACATCAATGTTTGTTCAAGAAGTAGTAGAGAAGGCATCTTTGGATTGCGAACGCCTGCGCAGATCCTGTCGCGTGCTGCTGCAGGCGTTGCGCAGCTAGCGCTCTTGTGTTTTCGTATGCACTGCTTCACACGTCGTGCTCTTACCAAGACTGCTGCGCCCATGTCGCCACAGGAGGACTGGGCAGGCGAAGTCAAGAACCGGTGCTTGCAAAGGCAGGCCGGGCAGCGCCTGGAAGAGACAGCAATGAGACCTACGCAGTTTGAGGACATGCGTAGGTCCGTAATGTCCGGAGTGTGAGTATACGTTGTGTGCTGTGCAGCTGGAACAGCAGCTGCGGTCACGGAAAATCCGCCCAAAAACTAGCCAGACAAACAGCGGGATGGACTCGGCCCAAACAACGCACATGCCTGGTACCGCAAGGCCGCAACCGCAGCTGTCAGGGACATGACGCCATCCGCGAGCAGAATCCTGGCCCGAAGCACAAGCTGGGTACCTTTGCGTGTGACCTTACGGCAGCTTGCTAAGTTGCGAAGGGCTTGGCCCAGCTCAGTTTCATTTTCCACCTGCGCAACAAATTCCTGGCATGGCAGGGCACGCGAAGCCTGAAGCACAAAGGCTGCGCTCAACACCATGTCTTTCCGAGCAGGTCTTGGGCTTGCTTCCCTTCCGAACGCCTTATGCCACTGTTTGCCTGGATCGCATCCGGCTCTTGCAATGTCTGAGATCGTCTTCTTCTGAAAAGATGGTCTGCGAGGCTCGGCAAGAAGCTTGCAGCATCAAGCGACCCACTGCACTTTCACGTGATGTGCCCCCAAGCCTCCATCCAGCTCCAAGCCCTCAAGGGTGCGCGGCTGCAGAAAGAAACATGGCGGTTCCCTGGATGTTGCGGGTGCTGAGACCTTCGGGCACCCCGAAATTGCAAGGCACCATCCCAGGGCTGTCCAAAAGCTCTATGTGGAGCCGGAAAGGGCTCCTCGGCAGTGCTTTGTCACTTCTTCCTCCCGATGTGAAGCCAGATCCCCTGAAAAGAAGGACCCCAGGAGTTGCTTTCCCAAGCAAGGCCGAGGCGCAGCACTTCCCAAGTGAGAAATGCCCCAACACAGCTGTCTGGCTACGTTGACGCGCGGAGTCAAGTCGGGACGCCATGCTGTAGGAGCGACAAAGAAGCACTCACGTGGTCACCCTAAAACAAGAACTCGAAGTATCAATGTGCTCAGCAGGCCCCTGTCACTTGGCTGAGCTCGGCCTTCCACTTCCTGCCTTTGCGGACAGCAGGCTTGCATCCAGGGGGGGCTAAAAGGAGGGGCCCAAAGAAAACCCCCAGATAGCACCTCTGAGGTCCCTTAGAAGGGTCCCTCCTTTAGTCCCCGGCCCTTGCATCTTGGCCCCTGGATCGACGCGGCTCCTTGCTTGCCTCCAGGCAGCTCGCTGCTGCCAGCACGTCTCCCCTGCCTGTCTCCTTCCAGGCGTGGAGTTGAGTTCAATTTTGAGATGAATTACGCTTAGATAACTTTCAACAACGTTTTCAAATGTTTTCAATCATAAGCCTTTCTGACCCGGAACTCGAAGTCTGACGTAACGCACATCAATGTTTCTTCAAGAAGTAGTAGAGAAGGCATCTTTGGATTGCGAACGCCTGCGCAGATCCTGTCGCGTGCTGCTGCAGGCGTTGCGCAGCTAGCGCTCTTGTGTTTTCGTATGCACTGCTTCACACGTCGTGCTCTTACCAAGACTGCTGCGCCCATGTCGCCACAGGAGGACTGGGCAGGCGAAGTCAAGAACCGGTGCTTGCAAAGGCAGGCCGGGCAGCGCCTGGAAGAGACAGCAATGAGACCTACGCAGTTTGAGGACATGCGTAGGTCCGTAATGTCCGGAGTGTGAGTATACGTTGTGTGTTGTGCAGCTGGAACAGCAGCTGCGGTCACGGAAAATCCGCCCAAAAACTAGCCAGACAAACAGCGGGATGGACTCGGCCCAAACAACGCACATGCCTGGTACCGCAAGGCCGCAACCGCAGCTGTCAGGGACATGACGCCATCCGCAAGCAGAATCCTGGCCCGAAGCACAAGCTGGGTACCTTTGCGTGTGACCTTACGGCAGCTTGCTAAGTTGCGAAGGGCTTGGCCCAGCTCAGTTTCATTTTCCACCTGCGCAACAAATTCCTGGCATGGCAGGGCACGCGAAGCCTGAAGCACAAAGGCTGCGCTCAACACCATGTCTTTCCGAGCAGGTCTTGGGCTTGCTTCCCTTCCGAACGCCTTATGCCACTGTTTGCCTGGATCGCATCCGGCTCTTGCAATGTCTGAGATCGTCTTCTTCTGAAAAGATGGTCTGCGAGGCTCGGCAAGAAGCTTGCAGCATCAAGCGACCCACTGCACTTTCACGTGATGTGCCCCCAGCCTCCATCCAGCTCCAAGCCCTCAAGGGTGCGCGGCTGCGGAAAGAAACATGGCGGTTCCCTGGATGTTGCGGGTGCTGAGACCTTCGGGCACCCCGAAATTGCAAGGCACCATCCCAGGGCTGTCCAAAAGCTCTATGTGGAGCCGGAAAGGGCTCCTCGGCAGTGCTTTGTAGCCAGATCCCCTGAAAAGAAGGACCCCAGGAGTTGTTTTCCCAAGCAAGGCCGAGGCGGCTCGCAAACTTTGCCCGAGGCACTCTCCTGAGCCATGTGCCGCACATGTTGAGTTCGCAAGAAATAGTAACCGGCCAAGGTTGTCCGTGGCGGCGCCCCGCCAAGTTGCCTCCCCACACACGCAGGCCGGCTCCCAAACACCCTTCAGCGGACCTGCCTAGCGACCTGTCTCACCCGAAACACCCCAGGTGACCACCAAACCAAACATCCTCCATCATCCGTTGATCTTGCGGAGTAGGCTGTGCTGCTTTCCCTGAAGGCCATCACGTTGGCACATCTGAGGCCCTGATGCTCCTTCGCTCCGGGAGCCAGGGCTCGTAAAGAAAAACAGAACTTTGCTGACTGTACTAAGGGGGTGAATGACAGTCCCTTCTTGCAGAATCCGAGGAATGCGTGTAAATAGACTGATACCGTGAAAACCTGACGATATTTGCACCGAAGATATTCCCAACGATAATGAAGGTATCCTAGATGAACTCCTTATCGGATTGCCTTGCATGCAACGCATGCCACGCACGACTTTCATGCCTTGCATGCAAGCGCTGTGACATGCTTTGCACTGCTGCTTGAACTTGCATCAGGCGATACACACACCAGCTACACGTGACGAAGGAGCGCAGCCTTCTGGCTCGTGGGACATGGAATGACAGTTGGGTCAATCCGGCTCGTATCTGACACGTGTCACAATGTTTAGCAGCCTAGTCTTGCCGCAGCAGGACGCGTCTGCACCTTCGTCGCCGTTTTTTCTTTCGAACTTTGAGCCGCCCCGCGATGTCCCAATCTGGCTGAACTAACAGCAGACCTCTGGCTGAACTAACAGCAGGCCAACAATGGCTCCGGTTGATCCGATCAGCCTTCGGTAGTAGCCGCTGCACATGACAGGACGACACGACCGCGACACGAACAGATCAGTTGGGTCGCAGGTCTGCAGCTCATGTTGTGGCAGAGCCTGAACAGCTATGCAGGAGCTGACACAGTACATGGAGCATCGGCTAGGGGGATACAGCGGTGGCACAAGCTGCAGGGAACTTCGGGCCTGTTCTAAGAAGAGCAGCCTTGCTTCGGATCACAAACGATGTACGGATCATTGAAAATTGTCTTTGTGGGGCCCAACTACGGAATGAAACAAAGAACCACTAAGCCAACCGCTACTTATGAGGGCGACACAAAACCGGAACCAGGAGTTGTTACGAGTGCGGGAACATGAGCGCGTGC